TGTTTACCCACTTCTAATGTGAACCTGAAATTGTATCCAAGATCTGACATTGAACCATCTGTAGCTATTCATCAGACATGTTTACTTTATAAGCAGATGACTATTCATTGATAGTTTTTATGCTAGAGACTACTGGGCTACACAACATGACACCCAGCTGAGGACTTGACTTTGAGTGAGCAGTGGCAAATGATGCACCCGCAGGACTTCATTTTAATAATGATCCTGCGGATGATGCCAGTTACAAAGTTTACAATGCTCCTATGTATTAATTATTCATTCTTTCCCTTCTGTTACTCCATTTCTTGTGTCTGCTGCCAGAATCCCAGATTTTATACATAGGAATGAATGTCATCAGTTTTAGAATTTTTGAAAGTCAAAATTGACTAATGAACGTTCTTAAATGTTTCACCCGGTTTGTAATCTAATATCCTCTTGTAGAGCTCTACCAAAACAGTGGGAATGCCATCACTAGTAGTGGCAGATTGCTACTAATTAAACAGTTCTTTTTTTATTTGCAAGGTGTGTGTAGATTTGTTTCGCAGTGCATGAGTCTTATGCAACCAAATATTGGAAAAGGTACTCTTTAATTAGCAGCTGTCTTATTTTGCCAGTGATGTCAACTGCTGGTATATTGGTAGACCTCTGCAAGAGGATATGTCTTCTTGCTGAGAACATGGCCAATATGAAGTGGGATTTTTGCCCAATTAAAAAAATCTTAACATTTGTGTGATCTGTCAGTAGCAGCTCTATTATTGGGATGTTGTTGTAAAACAATAGCCATAGAACAGATTTACTGTCCTATATTTTGGGAAGGTGTTAGGATTTAGGAGTATAATGACTTGCATTTGGAACAGAGTTTCCTTTGCTAGTGACACTTGATATGCTGGCTCCTGTTGTGGAAATGGAAACATTGCTTGTTAAGTTTGCTTCCTGTTAAGAGATACTCTGGAGATTCTAAACCAGCCTCTCTCATGCCAATGCTCTCCAAATGTGTTTGGTGACACATCCCTGAAGGCAGCAATGAGGATGATGGTGGTTGTAGTCCAGTGCAGTTGGTGGAAACCAGGTTACGGAAGGCCGTAATAAGCAGTGAGGAAAGAGACCAATATGCCCAGAAAAAGAGATTGTGTGAGTTGAGCTTTCAGTGTTCAAAACAAGCACAACAACAAGAAAAAGAACATAGTTTTTGTACTTTGAGATGCAAGTGTTGGCAAGCTCAAATATGCTCTTTAAGGGAAATTGAAGGGCTGTCAACTCAGTACGCTGAAGAGAAGGAGCAATGGTTCAGGGAGTAGGCAAAGCACAGCTCAAAGGCAGAGTGATAAACCACTATGGTACTGAGTTGACAATCCAGAAAAGGAGTGGTCAGAAGTGAGTTCAATAAACAGTCCTGTAGCGAACAGCCCTGCCCTCACCTGTCCGTCACAGAAGAACAGTGAAGAAGGAGCCAATGACTGGATGGAAGGCGGAGCCAAGGGGGGAGGGGCTGGATATAAAGGCTGGTGTATGGAGTCTGAGAGAGATTCTGTGTGAGAGAGTGTGAAACTTAAAAGTGGACTAAGAGTGAGTTAGGGATCTGTGAGAACGATGAATGGAATAGAGAGTTAAAGGAGGTTTAAAGTATAGCAGTTTTGATTCAAATACGAGTGGATATCAGCCTGTGATTTACTTACTGAATATTAATCATATATTAACTTCCCTGATATAATAAATGACTTGAGTTTTAAAAGTACGCATGTTTCCATGATTAAATGGTATTAAAGCAACAGTACCTGTTGAAGGGTGAGAACCACGTGAAGGCCTGGGGGAATAGGGGCTTCAGAAGAAATTGCCACAAAGTGGTGACCAGTGGTGGGATCTGAATTTAATACAGTAATGCCTAGATGCAGAATGGTTCTCAGAGCAGAAAAAGATATTTTAGTCAGGGGATCTGAAGTGAATGGAGTGGGTAACTTCCCAGAGCTTTTCAGGGGGAAAAGCTTAGTGGGAAGGGTCCTAAGCTCAGATTGGGGAGCTAAGATAGGGACAGGCTCTGAGGAAACCATTTATGGAAGGAGTTTACCTCAAGTAGAGAAGGGCCAGTTGGCTAGTTTGTCCTAAGCTCAAAGGATAGAGTTGTGAGGGGGCTAAACGGAGGCCAAGGTCAGAAGGAGCTGAGGTGGCTCAAATCAGCAAAAACTATAAAGAGTTACTCCTTGTTTATCTAACTGTGGAGTGGGCGACTCCCTTCAACACCCACAGCTCTCAGTTATTTGCAACAGCTGTTGCCTCCTGGATGCAATCAAGTGTTTTGCCTTAGCAGCATTTGATTATCTTACACTTTAATATGTCACTGTTCTTTAGGGGGACTGGGAGAGATGGGGTTGTCAGAACAACACTCCCAGTCCCATAACGTGATGGGAACCACCAGGCCAAATTGTGGGTATGGCAGCCTTCAAACCAGCAGAAGGTAGAGCAGCCTCTCACCTGCATGTTGTTTGTTTACCTCTTTTGTACTGCAGGACTTGCAAGAATTCCCTGTAAAACACATTCACATTTGCAAATCTCAGGGAATTGCCATGGCCCCTATGGCACAGCAGGACTCTCATAATTAAGGCCTCTCTTACCCATAATTAAGCCAGAGGGGTTCCTGCTAAATTATAAGGCTGAGTTCTGAAGTTCCAGATCATGCTCTGCTCCCTGCACACATATGGGGAAAGCTACCAGTTGGGAATCTCAAGCCCTTCTTCTGTTCCTGGTCTCTTAAGGTGAGGCATAACTATTTCAGGTAGGGCAGGGCACCAATTCTTTACATACATATACTTTATTGTTACAGCATCAAGCCATACATAAAACAAAATTGAATGCAGAACTTCAAGTACAGAGATATACTGCAAAAGCCAAATCAAATAAACAAAAAGCAATGAAACAACAAATATAACAATATAAGACCAATGTCTAAGGGTTTGGCTATCTAGTCTGGCTACTATGGCATGTCACCCAAAATTTCGCTACCAATTCTGTAGCAGTCTGATTTTGATCAATTACCAGTTCTTTAATGAAACACGAGAAAGTGATTTGCTTTTGAAAGCACCAGATTTGGAATGAAGGGAGAGGTTGATTGTTTTTTATTTGCAGAAATGTTTGCACACTGCCTTTCACCCCTCATTTAGAGCCTTGTTGAGGAACTGACATTTCTCCAGATGTTATATGACTACAATAATTATCTTCAACACTGGTCCATGCTGGTTGGAGTTCATGGGGCCCAGAAGATCTGAAGGAATATAGTTTTTTTTTCCTTCCATTCCTGGGTCTGATGAGTATAACTAATTTTGCCTTAGTGGTGCTGCAAGACTTCTTAAAGTGTTAGATCTGGTGGATGGGATGTGGGAATACCATCTGGACTTCATGCAGCAAAACCACATCAGTAAAACAACCTTGCATGAACATCATCTCCCCTCCTAGTTTGCAGTGGTCGTACAAATGCAATTATGAAACGATTCTGATAAGCGCAAAATACCTGTTCTTGCAGATGTTTATCGGTTATTTTGTACATGTTGTGTTCTGGACAAGACTTGTAAAGTCTTTTTACAACTGCCACAAAGTAATTTATTGCCTGTTGTTATGTGCCATCAAGTCCAATCTGACTTATAGTGACCCTAATGCGGTGTTAAGGTAAGTAAGATATTTGAGTGTTTTAACCAATTCCACTCCCTCAGTGAGTTTCCATGGCTGAGTGGGGATTCGAATTCAGAACTCCTGAGTCCTGGTCTGTCACTCTATCTACTTCACCACACTGGGAATATTGTTTCCATTACCAATGTGAAAAAAATTACTAGCAACTTGTTACATTAATTTCTGTGTTATAGTCATTGCTTTTTGTTCCATCTTTAAAAATAAAAAAGTAAGAAAATGGCCTAAAATGTGAAAAAAAACCCCAACTCTCGCTCATATTGCTCCAAGAAAGCATTTTTACTCCCCTGAAGTCATAACTATGTGGCACTCATTACATAGTATTCAATAACAACATTACCAATCATCATGTTGGTTGAAAGAGGAAGATTGTTATGTCTATGTTACTCCAAGAAATAACATGTCATAAGTAGTGTCATTGCTTGTGTGACATGTTATTATCAATCTTTGGTTAATTGCACAAAGCAGCAGAAACTTTCTTGAATGGAACACATGGTAGAATCCCCTCGTGTTGGCAGTTGCATATTTCAAAAGACATTCACAGCATATGAATTGGCTGTGACTGCCCTCTTTTGGTGACCAAAATCCTAAAGCAGTGTGTGTTTTTAAACAAATCAGATGATTTTCAGTAACTTACAATGAGCATACTCCTTCAGCAGCAGTCCCTGTTCTTGCAAGTAAGGGGGCATTGTCGGTAAAAATTTCTGTCTGATCTAGTTTAAGCAGTGGAAAACAGAACATTTATATTGTGCATGTCAAAATGTACCTTAATTTGGTGTGGGAAATTGTTCACATTAGGTACCGACCAATTCAAGTTGGGAAATTGCGTAGAAACCAATTACATATATTGGCAGAAATTTCCAGGTGGATAGCTGTGTTATTTATTTATTTATTTATTTATTTATTTATTTATTCATTCATTCATTCATTCATTCATTCATTCATTCATTCATTCATTCATGTATGTATGTATGTATGTATGTATGTATGTATTATTTATTTATTTATACCTCGCGTATCTGGTCATTGCGACCACTCTAGACGGCTTACAACATAAAAAAACATAACAAATATAAGAAAAAATATTATTTTTTCTTAGCCTGTTTAGGTATTTGGCTGCAGAGCCAGAGGTTGGGAATTCGATTCCCTACTGTGCCTCCTTGACAGGAATTCGACTTGATGATCCATAGGGTCCCTTTCAGCTCTGTATGATGATGACTCTCTACTGTACATTATGCATGAACACTTTCTGTATATAAATTAGAAGGGGGAAATAGAGTAAGTTTCAGCCATTTTAGATCTCTTTTACTTCATCTCTTTCACAGGAAAGCCATCTCCAGGTCTGGCCTTCAACATTTGGCTCCTGTTCAGAACCACAACATTCCCATCACAAATGGACCAGTGAAGGAGTCTAGGATGACACTAGAATGGACTGTAGGTGTTTATTATTATTTTTTATTCCTGGATAATGAATGAATAGAATTTAATTCTTGTTTGAATGGTTTTCCTCAGGAATGGAATTTTTAGAGGTTTATTTATTATGTGCCTTCTCTTCTTTGTCACGTTTGTATCCTGTGCTGTCAAGCTGTCAAACTAATCTTTGAAACATATTTAGCATTTTAAAAAAAAGGCATACTGGTAGGCTTAAGATTGCCTGCCTTGAAAGCCTGCAAATTACATCTAGCCATGTTTTCTTGGTCTGAAGCTTGAGTCACCTTTTCAGGAATACTAGGAACCATCTGTACACATTCCAGTTTCAGCATACTAAATGCAATTATTCCTCCCCTTATTCCTGATTAAGTATGATAATTATTCCTGATTATGCATCTAGATTATGCACCTAGAGGATCTAGGACTGGTCTACACAAAGACAGTAATTTGTGTAAAAAAAATTACTGTCTTTGTGTAAAAAAAAAAAAAATCCAAGAGGAACATATGCTCCCCATATGTTCCTCCTGGATTACTAAGGTTATCCTCAGATGGCCTTTTCTGAGTGTCACTGCCCCTGTTGATCTGACAGGTGGTTCTAAGGGAAAGGACCTCTACTGGTCCTCCATGTGAGAAAGGCCCTTCTGAAGTCTTCATTGGCAGGACCTACATACTAGACTAATGCTGTAATCTTCTGAGCCTTGGGTTGTAAAATCTTCTCATACATACACATGAGATGGAGGAACTACAGCATTCTTCACCTTTCTGGGGAGGGTAGTGAGGAATTTCCTAGGAATCTCAATAGAAATTTTGCATTGTCAGGAACAATCATAGATGTGAAATTGCCATATTTTGCACAGAATTGTGGCTTTGTTTAAGCATTTGAAGCAGTAGGTTTATTATTTGTGTCTTTCTTCATTTTAAGCCCTCTCTCTCTCCGTGTGTGTGTGCGCATGTGCACACGCACGCACGGACAAACGCGTATTTCTGCATCTGTATTTGTGTGTATATTTTGCTTCCCCAGGGGAAAAATAGAGACATTTCGTGCACATTGCAGAGACCTCAAACAGTAATAAAGAGCACTTTATCTTGTTCTTAAGTGGAAGTCAGGAATCTCACAGGCTCTTATGGTTCTTACTAGGGAGCCTCATGGCGCAGTGGTTATGCTGCTGTACTGCAGCCAAAACTGTGCTCACGACCTGGGGTTCAATCCCAGGTAGCTGGCTCAAGGTTGACTCAGCCTTCTATCCTTCCCAGGTCAGTAAAATGAGTGCCCAGCTCATGGGGGGGGGGGCAATGTGTAGCTTGCATAATTAACTTGTAAACCTCCCAGAGAGTGCTTTAAGTGCTATGCGTTGGTATATAAGCAGGACACTTTTTTTTTTAGTACAGACTAAATCTATAAGAATGAAGAATTTGATGAATACTCTTTCCACTCCTATTTCTGACCTTTTCTACCCTCCCCTGGATTGGAGATGCCACAGTGGAGGTAGTAACTCATGGCACAGTCCACGAGAATAAAATTTTAATGCTTTCCTCTCATCCTGATTTGGTGCATTGATATAAGTGCTAAGAGTTATATCGATTTTGCTTGATTACAGGAATCATAAAGAAGGAAGGTATTGAGGGACCAAGGTGCAGGTTTAGTGTTCTTCTGGCTATAAGCATCTTATGTTTTACCCACAGCGGTCCCCTCCACAGTATTATAACAGTCACTGGAAGATGAGTGTGTTACTCTTAGGCAATGGGCCCATTTTAAGTTTCCCTCATGAGATTGGCACTAAAATTTATAAGAACACAGTTCCATCATTGTTTCAAGGTCTTATGGACGAAGAGAAACTAGATGTCTTCCGAACTGGGTTGTAGAAATAGGCCATTTTTTATATTTAGAAGGCTAATTTTGAAAGTCACAAAGAATGCATATGAAATTTGAGCCAGGAAAGCAGGGTAGGAAACCATTTAAAACAACCTTTAATATAAAGGTTGTTTTAATATAAAGGTTGTTTAAAATATTTCAAGGTCTTATGGACGAAGAGAAACTAGATGTCTTCCGAACTGGGTTGTAGAAATAGGCCATTTTTTATATTTAGAAGGCTAATTTTGAAAGTCACAAAGAATGCATATGAAATTTGAGCCAGGAAAGCAGGGTAGGAAACCATTTAAAACAACCTTTAATATAAAGGTTGTTTTAATATAAAGGTTGTTTAAAATATTCTTAAATACAAACAACCTTTAATATAAAGGTTGTTTTAAATATTCTGAGAAGAAAAGACTCCCTGGAAAAGACCCTGATGTTGGGAAAGTGTGATGGCAAGAGGAGAAGGGGACGACCAAGGATGAGATGGCTGGACAGTGTCTGCGAAGCAACCAACATGAATTTGACACAACTCCGGGAGGCAGTAGAAGATAGGAGGGCCTGGCGTGCTCTGGTCCATGGGGTCACGAAGAGTCGGACACGACTAAACGACTAAATGACGACGAATAATAATAATAATAATAAATAAGACCCCACTGTAATAATAATAATAATAAATGGAAAAAAAAATCAAAACCTGATCAAAACCAAAGGTTTGGCTATCTCTTTATTGGTGTTGCATATTCATCTGGAAGGTTTAATTGAACTCCTCGGGACTTACTTCTGTGTAGACCTGCACAGGAATCAGAGCACGGGAAAGTGGTGGGTTTTTTTGAGTGTAGTTCTCAGAATCCCTCAGCCAGCAATGTACTGGCTGGGAGATTATGGAAACTGTTGACCAAAAATGGAATCTGTCCTGACACATTTGCATTGGAAATACATAAGCCCATTTCTATGGCTCTGTGTTCTCCTTTTCCCTTTATTTTCCTTACAGGAACTAGAATGTCTTGACAGGGAATGGTCAGCTTCTTTGTTTAATGTACTTTCTTAAGCAGTGAAAAATATTTGAGACCTTCAACATTAAATTGATACAGTAGTGTTTGTACTGTCTTTCCCCACCTCAATCTGCCCATTTCTTTATAATGACCGACTTTCATGGTGGAAGGAAAATCCTTTTATGTTTCATCCTGTTTAAACTGTCGAGGAAGTTGAAAATGAGAAAATCAGGACAAAATGTTGACTGTGCAGGTGATTTGTAAGCAGTCTGCTGATAGACACCATTTGGCCTGAAAGCAGCAGTGTTGATTGTGACTCTTTTTCAGTGCAGAAGCCAAGATGTCAGACATGGTCAATGCATTTTCCATCATGCCACAGTTCTGGAGTCCCTTTGCTTAAAGCAGCGTATCATAAATTTTCTCTTTGTGATTAAGCCAGGGATAGGAAAGGATGGAAGCCAGAATCCTTTTGAATCTGCATTATTCTGGTTCATGGTTGTTTGCTAGGATTTGTAAATACATTTCTCCATCCTGGAGCTCAGGCTATCATGGAATATTTCATGGGCAGGATATGGAAGACCCATCTGTGGCCCTCCAGATACTGAAGGACTCCAACTCACTGTATTACCTTCTAGCATAGCTCAGTGCCACCAGCGGTGGTTGATTCCAAGATTCTGGTCTGCCTTTTGGCTCAGCACAGATGGGGAGGGTTTGCATACAAATCGTTCTTTTCTCCCCAATTTTATTCCAAATTCTAAAAGTCCTGTTCACAGGAAATTGATAGTACAGTATCTCATAAGAAGGCTTTAAATAACTGCATGCATGAATGAACAAACAAACAAACAAATAAAATAAGACTTTTCATATTGATTGGATACAGACAAGTATCTCACACATGGAATGCCATTTTAAAAGCATCTTATATTTAGAATTTGTAATAATTTGGAAAATGCCATTGAAATTTTCAGATATTGCTGAAATATGTTCTAAGAGTATATTCTAGCTAAATGGTCATTTTGAAAAAAATACTAATCAATAAAGCAAATGTGATAGCTCCACAAAGTGGCCACAGTTGATCTTTATAAAACTTGAGAAAATCCCCTTGCCCTAAATTTATGTAAGCCTTTTAAAAAGGCAACCCTATGCCTGTTTTCTCAATGCAGTTGTAGGCAGAAAAAAGTTCACCTTCCTCAAGGAATTTTCTCAAAGTGGTATTTAAAGTAAACATGGGCAGACCAATAAACAGACAGATGTGTGGATGAATGGATGGATGGATGAATGTTTTGGAAAGCTTCAATAGAAATAGGAGCCACCAATAAAACCAGTATAATTACGGAATGGCCAATGCAAACAAGTGAGTCTTTCAGATCCTTCCTGAAGTTCTACAAAGAACGGCTTGGAGCAGGTGGTTGCTTATTAATAACCAATAAGGAGGACATAAGAGTACTTCAATTTGCATAAAATTACATAGCCAAAGTTTTATGTACAGACGCAAAATTAGATTTTGAGAATAATTTAAACAGAATTATAGTGCATCTTGTTTGTGTGATAAAAACTGACCTTTGCCCCTCTGGAACCTGTTTTCTAACGGCGCACTACAGATCAAGGCCCTGAATATCCTCTTTATGTGGCTTCATCTTAAAATCAGACTTGGGTTGAACAGCTCTTGAAATGGAGAACACCTTCATAAGAAGGATTGTGTGCTGGTAGACCATCATATGAAGGATTATTATCTCTAGAAGAGGAGATGAACTGCTGGATAGATCGGTGGTTCAGGTCCCTGGCTGAGGAGCCAGAGGTTGGAAGTTTGATTCCCGCTCCCCCCGTGCCTTCTTGACAGGGGCTAGATTCAATGATCCATAGGGTCTCTTGAAGCTCTGTAGTTCTAAAACTATTATGTTATTCTAAGATTATTATGGCTGTCCTAACCCTGATAAAGCTCTGGTGGAGCCAGACTTCAGAAGTGCAAAGCCATCAAAGAAAAGAAGCTGTTTACTTAAATTCATCAACCTCATTGCCCTGGGAGACCCAGTGTGGCGTATTGGCTAGCGGGCCGGACTAGGACTTAAGAAACATGGGTTCAAATCCTCACTTGCCATGGAAGCTCAGTGTTGGGATTCAAATCCTCACTTGCCATGGAAGCTCAGTGTGTGTGGGGTGAGGGGGGTGAGTGGAACTATTAAAATCACTCCTTATCTTGAAAGTCCTATTAGAGTTGCTGTACATTGCTTCCAATTCGATGGCGCATCATACACACACAAATTGCCATTAGAAATAGGCAACTAAGAAAGGTCTCTGTTGATGACCTCAGAGTGTATACAGGCTGCTATGGGGGAAGGATAGTCCTTCAGATAACTTGGGCTCAAGTACAAGAACATAAGAAGACCTTTGCTGGATCGGACCAACAGTTTTCTCTAGTGTATTACTGTAGATGCATTGGCCAATCTGTTGTCTAAGAGGAGCCAGTGAAGGATATAACTAAGAGTCCTGTGGCAGCTTAAAGACCAGCACATTTATTATGACTCAGACTTTTGTGAACCGAAACTTATTTTACCGAGTGTAACTTGTATGTAAGAAATACTGCACTCCATAGAGTTTATTCCTGGGTAAGTATGGATATTACTACACTCTAAGGCAGGTTCATAGAGAGAAACTGGGCTGTAATTGGAAGACATTTTGAAGAGTTTTATCTTGGGTTTTCTGGTTTAATAACCGCACTACTTCTATATAATATTGTTGAGCTTCCATAGGTGATTTATGAAGTAATGTATGTATATATATATTTTCTCAGGATAATGCAGTGAATGGAGAGCATCTTTGGTTGGAGACAAACGTTTCTGGTGACCTTTGCTACCTCGGGGAAGAAAGCTGCCAAGTCAAGTTCTCAGTGAGTTTTCATAATTGCCGCAGCACTGTTCAAACGACCTAATGTATGTACAGCGAACACTTTCATTGGAAGGAGCAATGCTACCTTTTTCTTCCATGGTTTGGAGGGGGTGTTTGTGCTGATGCAAAAGCAGTGGTGTAAATCACATCCAGAATCACTACTGATTATCAAGTTGTCACTTCTATTGCTCCTTGCACAGCAATTTATATGAGCAATATGTGGTGTGGGATACAAGTGGCAAGTCTTCAATTAGCAGCAATTTGCTGCTGTAATTTACACCCCTGCGCTTATGGAAAAGATGTAAGGATTCGGGCCACAGCCGCTGTTTTTTTAAAAAAAACAAATATGTTATAAGTTGTCTTGGATCCCACGAGGGAGAAATGTGGGATGTTGATTGATTAAATTACCAGACTTCTATAGCACATATGCAACAGGTGACAAATTGCCGGCTGTCTGCCAAACACAACAGCATGCTCTAGTTGTGGAATGGAACACGTAACCTGTTGTGCAACCGTTCACAAAATTGAGAGCTGGTGACCTAAAATTCGCCAAACCTGTGTTGTTATTTGCATAGTGCTTCACAACAGATAGGCAGAAAGAGCAGATTTAAGATCTTTCTCTTTTAAAAGCAAACAAACAGGCCACATTATTCAACAGCACACTGTGAACTGGTTAAAAAAAAAGGTTAAGGCTGTGCCCTGGATTCAGACAAGTCTCCCAAGACAAATCAAATTGACCTGGTTCGGACCCATTTGTAGAAAGTCAAGATCAAGGCGACACAGACAGATTTGTTTCTGGAGTGGAGTGGGTTGAGTTAGTCTTTTTTCAGAAAAGTAAACTTTAATGGTGCCAAGTATGCCAACCTTGAAGCTAGCTGTCTGAAATTTGTCAGATTTATGTCCTTTGAGTCTACCATGTACCCAAATTTCATGTATCTCATTGTAAAAAGTTATGGTCATTTTAGTTTTCTGCTGCAAGTCAATGGGACTCTTAGAAATAAAATTGGGTGGGGCATAAATCACTTTGGACCAAATTAGGATTCATCAGAAGGTCCCAGAACTGGCTACAAAACTGAATCAGGGGACCTGTGAACACTCCCCAAATATAGACTAGGAGGAGAAAGTTGACACAGCTCGTGTTCTCATGGGAAACTGCCAGCAGAGAAATTATGTCCTCCTGAACTGGAAGACACAGAGTCACATTGTTTTGTCTTATTTGTGTAATATTTCAGAAGTCAGCTGTTCGAAGAAAGTGCGCTGCTTGTAAGATTGTGGTCCACAATGCATGCATGGAAGAGTTAGAAAAGGTAAGATGGTGCCATCTGCTGGGAGATGTATGGACAAGGGCTAGATGTTTAACAGATCACTTATTGGAAGCTCACAAGTGGAACCTACAAGGTAGAATGATACTGTTCAGAATTCTGTTCCATCCCATTCCCATTTTCACTCTGGTTTTTTACCTTCTGGAACATTTTTCTAGTTATTTGAACTCTATCCTCACTGGGCTGTTACGTCCTCAATGATCCCTAGCTAGACAACATTGTTTTACTTGCATAGACAACAGAAATCTTCTAGAAAATCAGAAACAGAGTGATCTGCGTGCTTGGTGGTACAATAGTTATGTCATTTCAATATAACACAATTGATCTTTCAAGCATTTAAAAAGGATTGTGTGTGTGTGTGTGTAGTTGCATATACAATAGAAAATATTCTAAAAATCAGAATACACACACACACACATAGATAGATAGATAGATAGATAGATAGATGATAGATAGATAGATAGATAGATAGATAGATAGATAGATAGATAGATAGATAGATAGAGAGAGAGAGAGAGAGAGAGAGAGAGAGAGAGAGAGAGATGTTGATATCTATATCTATATCTATATCTATATCTATAGATAGATATACCCTGTTTTCCCGAAAATAAGACCTAACCTGAAAATAAGCCCTAGTATGACCTTTAGGTTGCTCATAATACAAGCCCTACCTCCAAAACAAGCCCCAGTTAACTGAAACTTCGCCCTCCACCATTGTGCAGCAACCAGAAGAAGATGATATGAATGTATTTGAACAAATGTAGATTGTTGTACATGCAAAAAAATAAAACATCCCCTGAAAATAAGCCCTAATGTGTTTTTGGAGCAAAAACTAATATAAGACCCTGTTTTATTTTCAGGGAAACACGGTGTCTGTCTGTCTGTCTCTCGACAGATAGATAGATAGACAGATAGACAGATAGATAGATAGATAGAGAGAGAGAGAGAGAGAGAGAGAGAGAGAGAGAGAGAGAGAGAGAGAGAGAGAGAGAGAGAGAGAGAGAGAGAGAGAGAGAGAGAGAGAGAGAGAGAGAGAGAGAGAGAGAGAGAGAGATTCTATATAGATAGATATTCTAAGATAGATTATATCTTAGAATCTCTCTCTCTTCTGATTTTTAGAAGACTTCTATTGTACATGCAACTACACACACACACACACACACAGAGGGAGAGAGAGAGAGAGAGAGGTGTTTAGGCAGAGGTTGCGAGTTCAGTTCCCCACTGTGCCTCCTTGACAGAAGCTAGATTTGATGATCCAGTCACTTCCGGCTCTACAGTTCTAAGATGATAATGATCGTTCATTATTGTACTGCAAAGCTTTTGGGTTTGTTTTGGGTCTGTGAAAGAATATACATCTGAATGAAGAATGAGGATAAATGGGTGTGTATGTATGTACTATACATTCATGCACACCCCACCATTTCTGCATAAGAAGTCAAGGAAATGATGGGTTGATATCCATGTAGGAAAGCCACACTATAAGTGATTGTATTAATCAAGACAGGTCCTTCTCTCATTGTGACAAAAATGCAGCAGGACTAGCAAATTTATTGTTATTGCGGCACACACATAAGCTGTCTTGTTAAAAAGTTGGTCTAAACCAGTGGTTTGCAAACTGGGTCCCCAGATGTTCTTGGACTTCAATTCCCAGAAGCCTTCACTACTTGCTGTGCTGGGCAGGATTTTTGGGAGTTGCAGTCCAAGAACATCTGAGGACCCAACTTTGAGAACCACTGGTCTAAACAGCAACAGCAACAACTCAATTCCAACTTATGGCCATCCTGGCCAGGGATTCCTAGGTAGACAATTCCCATTCCCTTCTTCTGCAAACAGTACAGCTTGCCTGAGGTGACACAGGCTGGCTCTTCTAATGGAAGCCACAATAGAGAATTGAACTTTTAACCCTCTACATCAATTTATTTAGCAATCCAGGCAGCTAAAGTTGGTCTACAGCCAACTTTGGAGTAGACCTTTGGTCTAGATGGGTGGGATATAAATCCAATAGATAAACAAATAAATAAATAAACTTTTGAAACATGTACAATCTTAACCTAAGGTGGCTGGTTTGGATTTGGTTTTTTGTGTTGTCAAAATATAAACATTTTCTTTTTTTATAAAAATATACCAACAACAACAACTAAAAAGGAATTTTCCCCCCTTTATATTCTGGTAAAACTAGGGTTCTGAAAAGACATTCTGGCTTGACTTTCTTGGTGACCTTTACCAGGATTAAAGCATTTTACTGATGGCAAAGCTTGGGAATAGTTAGGTAGTTGTTTTGTAAAAGAAAATAAGTGCAAGGTCAATCCAGCATTTAAATCTCTCTTGAACCTCATATTGCAGCAGGAACTAATCCATTGCCTGGCTCAATGCCTGCAGTATAGGTGGGAGAGATTTTAAACAATATGATTCCAATTGAGATAGCTTTCCTGTCTTGGCAAGATTGAGAAAAAGGTCAACAGCTTAAGCTTAGCATTTCAGCCAGCTGAACAGCATTCTCTGAGTCACACAAAGACCCAAAATGCTTCCTTTTGCTAGAGTGCAACTCCCAATGTTTCCTTTAAAACCAGGGCCAGCCCTCCTGTTAGGCAGAGTGTGGCCTCTTCCTTAGATAGCACATTTGGAGTATCATGAGAAGACATCATTTTGTAACACACTGTTGTATGTTTCCTGCTAGTGGGGTGGTCATGGGCTTGTGGGATTTTCTGCACCAAAATAAAATAGTTTAACAAATTCAGAAGCAAACAGAACAAGGGGGAAATATTGCGATATGATTAAGACTAACTAATTGCCCCAAGTTGAGAAATCACTGCGTACATTAACAGTTGTGAAATTTGAATGCAGTTTAATATACAAGTGAAAATGCCTTTGGTGATTTATTGGCTTGGAGCAATTCTCCTCCAAAAAAAATTTAAGAGGCATTTGGCTATTAGGTTGGCCAGATTGCTGACTGCGCTGGTTACAGGCATCACATAACCATCCTATTACAGTAGCTTCACCAACTGCCAATCCATTTCCTGGCTGAACTCAGGGTGTTGATTCTAACCTATAAAGCCCTAAATGGCTTAGGCCCAAGCTATCCTCCTTTATGAATCTGCTCAAGTGTTAAGACCATCAATCAGGGGAGGCCTTTCTCTCACTCCTGTCACCTTCACTGTTGTGTTCGGTGGGGACACAGGAGAGGGCCTTCTCTGTTGCTGCTCCCAGACTTTGGAACTCTCTCCCACAAGAGGACAGGGTGGCCTCATCTTTGCCGTCCTTCCCCCACGCACGCGAAGACTCAAGCTTTCCCTGAGTGATTGGAGTGTTTAAAATAGATTTTTGTACATTACTCCTTTGAATGTGTTTTGGTATTGCTAATGTTTTTATACGTATTCGTTTGATCTTTTTTAGTATTTGTATACTCACTATTGTTAGCTTTTATATTACCTTTTAATGATGTAAGCTGCCTTAGGTGCTTTTCAAGGGAATGGTGGGATAAAAAATGTTGTAAGTAAGTAAGTAAGTTAGTTGTAGTTTCAGATCAACACTGTATTCATCATCATCATTTTACAAGCACTTGTTTTGAGATGAGGGGGAGAGAAGGCCCCAGATTCCCTCTAAATGATCTTTGAAAATCATCTTTAGAAGCAACTGATCTTAGGTCACTGCACGTATAATGTTGGGAAACAGTGTGCATTGTTTAGAAAGCAGAATCTCTGTCAACATAGCCTGTTTCAGTATAAGAGCTGGGAGCATGCCATGCTTTTCCCTCAGCACCTTATGTTGATTTTCAGGTCCATTATTTCTATGGTTAATAGTATTAAAGATTGTGAATCACGGGAAGAAAAAAGATGAACCTCTTTTTTTGCTTTGGAACCCAGGCTGTGAAATGCCTTCTATGGAGGTGCAATTGGTGCCAGCATTGGCTCTACGTATTGGCATTAAGCTAAAATGCGGCTGTTCCTCAAATCCATTTGGGTTTAAATATTTGATAGAGTTAGTTGTGGAGTTCAGTCTACGCAATTTAAAATTATCTTAAACTTATAATGGTCTGTTTTGATCTGTTTTATTTTGATCTGCTTTAATCAACTACATCAACTGATGTTTGGAATTATTTTATTTTAAGCTACTTTAAACTGTTTCCAGCCTGAGAACTTGTGATAGAGGGCGGACTATAAATATTCCCCATAACTAATGAATAAATAAATTTCATTATGGGGACAGCTCTGTGATCGCTTACTGCCTGGCCTATGCTTTTACTCCTGTTTGCTTGCTTCCCACCTGGCAGATAAACTTCCGGTGCAAGCCAACTTTCCGAGAAGCCAGTTCTAGATCGCCAAGAGAGGTGAGTGGCTTATTTTTGCATCTGTCGGGTCTCTCTGGAAATTTGTGCTCCATGTATAGCTCCACCTTTCATTTTATTGGAAAATAGGCTTTTAGAATCATTGGAACCCACCCTGTGTTAGACCCACACCTCCTCCTGGTGTAAGTGGACCAAGTTGTAGAGTGATTAAATACCTTTAAATTGCCAGTAGGTTTGGCTTTTCCTGCCTTTGGCTCTCCCAACTTGCTGTGCACAAAAATCCCATGCATTTCGGGACAAGCACATCTAGTGAGCATTGGTTTCAGGAAGGCTGAGTGTAGGCCCTAATTCTGGGAACAAACAGAAATCATTTGACAATAATCTGGTTCAGACATAATCTAGGGCACCAGATATCTTTTGGGTTTTTTCTCCCTAATTTCTCATTATGGAATATTTCTTTCTTATGTGTGCTTCATAATGGCTGGTCATCTTTTCACTCCTTCCTTCATGATTGTCTTACCAGCACCAGGGGTGTTTTTTTTTAACATGCCCGCGATGTGATGTGATTTGGAATGCAAAGGTTTAGATGGAATAGAAGTCTGTGCTGCTTTTTATTAATTTTTATCCTTTGCTTGTGCTGCCTTCCCTTTCAGAATTTTGTCCGGCACCACTGGGTACACAGGCGGCGACAGGAAGGAAAGTGTAAGCAGTGTGGAAAGGTAGGGCTAAGATCCACGAGATTTCATAGTTTGTGAAGCAGCTACACATTCATTTCTCCTGTTGACTCTTCCACTTGCATGCTTCTAATCCCCACCCCAAGAACTCAGGCCTCACTCCATAGTTTCCTTCTCTTATTGCTTCCTCTGTCCCATCTTCTCCTGAATTTTGTTTTTTTTCCCCCTAACCAGAACATTGGAGCAGAAGCATGGACCATTTGCTGATAGATTTCAATGCCTTCAATGCATTTCTGCCTTTCCTTTCCCCATGACCCTGCTCATTTGCCTTTTTATTCTCTTTTCCCCTTCAGTGCACACTACTGAAGTGCACAGGTGGATAAACGAAATACTATGAAAATGCAATCTCTACTCTGTTGTGAGTTTCATTGTGCCAAGCTTTTTGGGCAGTGTGGCTGATGCACACAGTAAGATGACCATTACTGGAACAGATCAAAGGCTTATGTAGTCCAGCTTTCTCTTCTCAACAGGGCCAGCTGGGTGACATTCAGAAGCCCATAAACAGGACATGAGAATAACAAATCTCACCTGCTCCACCACAGCTGTTACTAAGCTTTACTGCCTCTTGTGCTATAGCCATCATCATGACTAGCTGCCATTGACAGATTTGGCTTTTAGAAATTTATATCACATGGTGGGTGGCCATCATCAACTAAGTCTTGTCTGAAGAGGTGTATTTGTTTGTCAATTCTGAATTTCCTTTAGTTGTAATGAATTACTCTAGTTTTCTGAGAAGGGGAAAAACCCTTTTAATCCTCCCCACTAGATTTTGCATAATTTTATACACCTCTCACAGCTTCCACATTGCTTCCTTTTTCTATGCTAAAAAGACCCAATGCTGCCACCTTTAATAGAGAAATTCCTCCAGCACCTGGATCATTTTAGCTGCCTTTTTCTATAACATCCTCTTTGAAATGTGGCAATAAAAACTGCACACTGGCTGGAATCCTGTTGATGATTTACACATGTCTATATAAAATAATGTAAGTCACAGCAGCAGAATGCTGAAAATTAATGAGGACCTGGTTGGGTTCCTAGTCACATGCCCATTGTGCAACCAGGCACATGACCAGCACCTCATTAATTTGTGACAATTTTCCACTTCAGTTTACATGACGTCAGTTATGCATGTGTAAATCACAAATAAGATTTTTGCCAAATATGGGTGCAATGCAGATCAGCATTTTAATTGTCAGATTTATTTTTGATTCTTTTTCATAGAGGCTGTACACCGTTGTTGATATTTTTCCATCAAATTATCTACTAAAGCTATAGGATGCCTTTCCTAGCCAGTCATAGACAGTTCAGAGACCACAGTTCAGAAACCAATCAGTATAAATCAGTTTTTAACAGGTTTGTCACTTTGCAATAACTGTTACGTTGAACCCCAACTCCTTCCACCCCAACTTTAGAAGGATACTTTTGGAACCCTCTGAGATGGCCAAAGTATTGGAGCCTCAGCTTCAGGATTTGTCCTTCCAGTGAGCACTCAGGGTTGATTTCCTTCACAATGGATAGGTATTAGCAGCGGCTAAAATCTTGTGTAGCTTCACAGAAGGCGTAACTTTTGGAGGCAACTTGCTTGAAGCTGAGAAATGTATGAAGATTCCCACCTCTAAAAATTATGAAATTTGCATTATGGCAGCATAAGTAGGCAAGAGAATTTAGTCTTTGTCTGCGAGATCACCCCTATCAGTATGTGTCTGTTCCACTTCCAAAGAGACTGCACTCCTATAAAATGCCACACAAAAATCTTGATATAGTCATACATGTGATTACATTGAGCTTGCTTTTTTTGCAGTGTTTCACACTTATATGTGAATTGGGACTATGTAAGGGAGCCTGTGAATGAAGCATGAAGGGAAACCTTGGACTAACTTTGTATCCAAAGAGCTTTGTACAAAACGTGGAAATAATATCCTGAATAGAGATGGTCATGAACTGTCAGTTGGCGGTTCATGCTAATTCATTTTTTGGCCAAACACATGCTTGGCACTTTCCAGCTCCACCTCCTCTGGTGGGCGCCCACTCAGAGGAGTCACTCCAGCTTCCCTGCCCCACCTCCTCAGGACGCTGCCTCTGAGTGGGTGCTCACCAGAGGAGGCGGGGCTGGGAAGCACCGATTACCTGTTCAGCTGAAAAAATGAATCGGCACAAACTGGCAAACTAGTGGTTTGTGTCGATCTCTATTCCTGAATAATGAAGGACTGCAGATGTGTTGGTTCTTCTAGAGACAAGAGTATGCAAATCAGAATTCAGATATTCAGAAAATACATTTTGCACAAAACAGTTTGGAAGTATCCCCAGTTTTGTTTCATTCACAAGAACGAACTATGACACAAAGGAAAGAAATAGAAAGAAGTGGTTCAGAGTTGACTTTTTAGTTTTAGTTTACAATTCTTGGAATTCTTTGGCTTGCATGGATGCTGGTCATTTGAGTTTTGGCTTTCTGAGAAGGAGTTGTGGTTTTTCCAGTCCTTCGTGCAATGAAAGGTTCCTTTCCTAGCAATTTTCCATGTACCTAATTTTCTTTGTACCATCTGTTAAGCCTTAATGCTGGTGTGAACTCTTATAAAAGGAATGTTATCATCTTGGCTATCTTAGGTTGTGGGGTTCATTCTCAAGGCTTCATTTAGACATGCTCAGAGACACTCATGTCCCTTGCACTCTCTAGAGCTGCTGATGGAATTCACACATTGACTTTTAAATTCATCATGCAGTCTCCACATTCTATGTTAGTGACACACATAAGAACTAATAAGTACACACTCTCAAGTTGATTTTGACTTACCTATGATCCTCCAGGCCTTCGAGATAGATCAGAAGTAGTGTACCATTCCCTTCTTCAGCATTGTGTTCTGGGGCTGTGCAGCTTGCCCATGTATAAACATACAATTTTGAAATTGTCTGCCACATGTGACATTGTAAGGCCACTCTCCTTGGTCTTAGGCTTTCACCCTTAAATCACGGGAAACTGGATGGTCCTAACATAGCAGTCCTACATGCAGAGCTTCAAAGACTAGACTTTTTCAGGTATGGCGAGTTACACAAATAGAAAGGATTCTCATAGCTTCTGCTGTACATATGGCTTCAGAGTTCTGATGTCTCCGTTTTCTCATGCAGGTTTGTTAACTTATCTTAGTGGCCCAACTAGGCTGTAGCTCAGACCCGGGCAAAATGTGGCCCTCCAGATGTTGCTGAACTGCAATTCCCAGCAATCCTAGCCCACACAGCCAATAGTGAGGAGTGTTGGATTTGCAGTTCAGCAACATCTGGAGGGCCGCACTTTGCCCAGGTCTGCTGTAGCTGGTCAGCAACCCAGAGGTGAGACTGAGGCACTAGAAACCATCAGTGCAAAGCCGGATTCCATTAGCTGGAGGGAAGCAATTGCTTCAGATGGCAGATGATGAGGCCATCAAAGAGACCTCTGCCTTCCTTACCTTTTGAATCTATGACTTTTCCTTAAGAACAGGATTGTGAATACCACAAAGCCTGTCCTGCATGACCTGAACTAGCTTGCTGGCCTCAACTGTGGCATAGGATTCTATATTCCTGTTTTCAGCTTAGAAGTTAAGGTTTGATGGCCCGTTCAGTTGGCCTGTGCATGTGTGGAGTGGAGGAGGGCATTAAGTTGTCTTTTGGATCAGGTAGTGAAAGTCTGGTTCTCCACAAGGGCCAGAAAATAAATCAGCCTACACAACCTTTCTTGCTGGGTATAGGCACCTCTTTCTGATTGCCAACAAGTCTCATTCCTCTTTAATTGTTGAAGGGTAAGTAGACACGGGCAGTATTGCAATGGGATGGAGAGACATTGCATGACCCAGGCACGCCACACTTCAAGATTAGTGGAGTTTTGTCTGGTTTAAGATCAGAAAACTTAATGAAACCTCAGATAACATTTGAACTAGAGGGTACTGAAAAACTTGATTAATTTTGCACTTTTCAGAACTGCTTAAATGTGCAGCTCATCTTTTAATATTCATTGTAGGCTCGGCTCTCCATTTAGCAAATCTGAAAAATCAATTTGCAGGAACCTTGGAAAAAGAATAAGAGCCCAATTATCTCCAAGCAGCATCTTCAGCTCTTGCGTCATCCAGTCCTCTTAGCCTATTTCAAATTAATATTTTCCCCTCTCAATCTCTCTTTCTTGTTCTTTTTTAGATACACACACACACCACATGAATATCATATATTTGAACATGTACCACTGATGCAGTTCTTACGTTTGACCCTTTATTCAAACTCTAACAGAGAAAAAGAAAACTTTTTGTATATATCAAGTGAGAGTTTGCTAATGGCAAATGTTATTAAGATACTGTCAAAAGTGGGGCGAGATTGCAAAAGAGCATAGATAGATTCCAGATAGTGATCTGAATCTTATCATATCTGCAAGTGTGCCAGGTATTACACCCTAACAACAAGGATTACACAATTCGATTGTGCCGTCGGCCACATGATTCCTGTTGTGACTGTGTGCACGTGTAGAAGTGCTTTGTGAATATAATTTCCATCTTGGCGTGATTGGAACTACCACACTGTTGAGTGTCAAGATGGGTCCTTTTAAGGAGAAAGTTGTGATAAAAATATTTCAAATCATTAAATAACAATAATAACAATAATAACAATAATAACAATAATAACAATAACAATAACAATAATAATAATAATGAAGAAGAAGAAGAAGAAAAAGAAGAAGAAGAAGAAGAAGAAAGTAGTTATGCAATAGATGTAGGCAATTCATATTCTTATTCCTGGGAATACAAATAAGATGAGTGGTCAGCTATGCAGGGAGACAGGGAAGCGCTGGCCAAGCTCCTTCCTGGACTGCCATGATGACAACTATGAAGGACCCCCAGTGCTGCACCATGACCAGCGAGCAGACTGGCTGGTTCTGTAGGGAGGGAATGGGCCTCTGTGGCACCTGTAGCTCTGCTATTTGCATTTGTATCCCCAAGGATACAAATGCATCCCCAAGGATTTGTATCCCCAAGGATACAAATAGCTCATGTCTATTGCACACATGTATTAACCTATACGCCCATAGCTACCCAATCATACCGCAGCCAGTATGATTTTTTTGTATAAAGGTCTAGATTTCATGAACTAATCCTTCCAGTTAAAGCAGGACTGACATCAAGGCACGGCAGGTCCTGGCTTTTGCCTGGATTCCCAGATCAGTTTACAGCCACTGTCATGACTGTTTTACTAGTTCCATTTGTTTAGTGTAGGAAAAAAAAAGAGGCCTATGAAAATTTCAGTGTGCGAATTGTCTCCCCTCCCAGATTATTAGGTGAGCATTTAGGGAATCATGCCACACTTTTCAAATCATGGCACCTGCAGTGAATGAAAGCATCTTATATTTTCATTTTAATTCTTGCATTTACATCCCATTTTTTGTGACCCCGAGGCAGTGAACATGGCTCTCTTCCTACCATGTCATTTTCACAAAAATCCTTTAGAGGTAGCTCAGTTAGGATGAGAAAAAAAACAACAACCCACTTCTTGGGTTGCATGACACGTGGGGATTCATGCAGGGGCTCCCAAACCGTGTGCCGTGGCACTGTGGGGTGACTCCAAACCAGGCCAGGGGTGCTTTGGGAAAAGGGACGGAACAAAAGAGCTATGCAGGGAATAGAGGTTTTGTTTATAGTTCTATGTCAATCAGGACCCGGAAGTGGAAGCTCTGTGCTTTCCTCTCCTTTCTCCTTGTCTGTGGTCCCTGGTGAAGGTGCTTGGAGGTGCTTGCTGGGTGGCCTTGTGAGTCCCCACCATCAGCATGCAAAAGGAAGTGGGTCTTCAGGGATATTTGGGGGGAGGCAATGTGATGGCAGAGAGATCTCTGATGCCCCCCATGAACAAGGGGAGATGCTGCCAGTGGCCAGGACACAATGAGTCCAAAAAGATTGGGAACCAGAGGACCGATCCCTGGACCCTCCAAATCCAGTCCAATACTTTAACCCCTACACAACACCACCACCCACCAGAATACAATGCACGGAAGGTCTATCCAAGCTAGCTTGAAGATTATTCTCTTGAACGTTATAGATGATAATGGAATAAGTGAAGAAATGGTATATCGATAAACAATGAAGGGACCTTCTACAGCCGTTCCTCTGCCAGACAATGTTATCGTTTTTCTTTACTGCTCACTATGTCTGCCTCTTTTCTTGAGAGGATGAAGGGGATCGTTACTGAGATTAAGTTGGAGTTGAAGGAAAGCCATAAAAATCATTTTTAATGTACTGCCTGGTCAAGCCTTCTTGCTGTGGGAGGTCATCATTCATATCTGTGCTTATAATTGGAATGGTTGAATATTTTAATGGACGTGAATTACCCAGACATTATTAATAACTACTGAGGTACAGGCCAAAACAGGGGCTAAATCTTATGACATGATTCAGGCTAAGAATGAATTGCCATTAACCTTGTCTACTTGGATTAATTTTACATTTTACACCCTTCTTGTATATTTCTGAGGGGAAGAAGAAAGGGGATTATACCAAACTATATATATAGTTGCACCAGGAATCTTGCCCAATATATGCCATTAATAATGACGTAATGAGAATGTATTTGGAATCACCTTGCTCAATTTTCTTCCAACATCTTTCTTAAGATTTTGGTAGGGCTCCCGATGGTCATACCAGCTTAACCAAGATTTCGTTTTAAGAGACAGATCATGAGGAAGAGAGAGGGAGGTCAAAGAGAATAAATGCTGTTGTGGGTTTTTCGGGCTCTTTGGCCGTGTTCTGAAGGTTGTTCTTCCTGACGTTTCGCCAGTCTCTGTGGCCGACATCTTCAGAGGACAGGAGTAGCTACTCTTGGTCAACACACATATTCAAATGCAGTTTAAAAAATGGACTTAGAGCAATTCTGGTGTGCTCAATTCCACACCCAGCAAAGGCAGCATTGCAGACACTTCTATCTATCTACGTCAAATGGGATTTTCATCACTTTTGAAAAAACAAAATAAAAACAAAAACAAAAAAAACCCCAGAAATTTCTTGAATGCAAGTGATGACATATGTGTTGCTCTTTAGAAAAAGAAACCCTGCTTTCAAAATATTATTATGAATAAACAACAACAAATTAGCCACTAAAAACTGAGAAATTATTTTAATTTTATTTCAATACATATGTGTGTTTCTATTTTTTCAGTAAATAAATTGTTTTGCAATACAGTAAATGTAATTTTCTAACAAATAAATTGGAACACATTTTTCAAGGGGGTGCGAGAATGTAATCTGAGATTCAGTGGGGTGTCGACCACTAAAAAGGTTAAGAGCCTCTGCTTTAGACACTAAATATGTCGAACATTTCAGGGGAGGAGTAGAGTTGTACATGACTGTAATCAATTATTTTTACTGTTACAGGGATTTCAGCAGAAATTCTCCTTTCACAGTAAAGAGATTGTGGCCATCAGCTGTTCATGGTGCAAGCAGGCGGTAAGTGATTTTTGCCCTGGGGGGACTGTGGAACTGTCAGTGTGGACTGATAGTTCTGCTGTGACATCACATGGAGCATCTCAGGAACTTAGACCTAACTGGCTCATTGCATTTAATTCCTTCTCTAATAATACAAGTGTAATGAAGTTGCATTGTTGTAGCAACATAATGGGGGATAATTACACCCCTTTGTGGCATAAGTGTAACTTTCTTTAGTTCCTTTTATAGTTACAGAAGTGTGGTCTCACTAGTGAAGGAGAAACATTGCATAGTTGAAGTGCTGCCTTGTGCTGTTTCTGGTGTTTAGAAATTAGTGTTAGGATTATTGATAATGAAATGAATAAAGGAAAGTTTTGTACCATGGATGACTGGCTTGTAGCAGTCAGACCTCTATTCTTCAAGTATAACTACAAAGAAAGTATTCCTAATTATAAGGAATCATATATTACTTATATAGAATGTGTGGAAGAGATTGTCACTCTCATATTGGTGTTCTCAGCCACATTAGACCTCTATTCAGAGCATGTTACCATAGTCTGAAGAATGCCTACAGAATATATTATTTTACTAATTATCACTATAAAATATTTATTCTGGAAACTTGGATTATTCTACAGAAATGTAACTGTAGTGGTAACTAAGTCCTTCTTCGGGCCTCGGAACTATAACTGTTAATGAATTCTTTTGAAAAAAATAACATTCCAAGCTCAGAGAATCTTTAATTTGCCATTTGTTTTAATGAATTGATACAGAGTTTGTTGCTTTTCTGTTACGTTTCTTTGAAGAAGAAAAAAGAAAACTTCTTCTCAGGTCCCTAAAAAGCCTAAAATAAGCTAAATAAATAACACAAAAGTACTGTATTACTTGTTAAAGGAAACAGTAACATCTCCCACATTTGTTATGAAAATTTTGAAATGAAACATTGTTATGCCCTTGTTACAAAAAGTAGCTAGAAGTAGCAGCATTCTGATCGTCAAAATGTGGAAGTAATATTACACTTGTAATGTGTAATTTCCACATTACGAGAATAAGGAGGAGGAAGCTGAGGACATTAATTGTGGAGGCCATTTTGCTTACCTGCTCTCCAAAATGCAAACGTAAATCTAATGCACTGGGGATAGCCATCCATTTTAGGGTGGAGAAACGTTGTGCTATGTATTAAGCTGGAAGGTTGTTTGCAGATGATGAAGAAAAAGTTCATAATGTACGTCTTCTCAGACTAGATGTACTGGACCAGTTGTATCAAACATTATCTGGGCTGGGAGAAAATTATTTAAAGTTATTTAGGACTTTTGGGAGGAAGGTTGGCTGCCCACCTCTCCTTCATGAATACTTTTTCATGTATACCCTTAACTCCACTGGATAAGCCCTCTGTTCTCTTTGGGCTATATAAAGATGCTATAGAGCAGGGCTTCCCAGCCTTGGGTCCCTAGATGTTCTTGGACTTAAACTTCCAGAAGCCTTAGCTGTGCTGCCAGGATTTCTGGGAGTGATCTCATGAACATCTGGGAAACTCAGTGTTGGAAAACACTATTGCAGACTGATGGAAAGATTGGTATATGGGTTTTAATCACCTTTATTATTATCTTTTACTTCTCACTCACCTTTGCAATTGTCTTCTGCGCTTTCTTCTCCTCCACTAACTCCTCTCATTTTCTTTCCTTAAGTTCCACAATAAAGTCACCTGCTTCATGCTGCAGCACATAGAAGAGCCATGTTCCCTAGGGGCTCATGCAGGTGTTATCGTGCCCCCCACCTGGATCATTAAGGTGAAGAAAACTCAGGTAACTGCATGCCCATGTCTGTACTGACACTGTAAGTCACCTTGCTTGGCTTATATCCCTCAAATTCCTTCACAAAGGCATGCTTCGCACCCCTTGGCCCGCCAATCCTCTGCCAAGTGCATTCGTTATTGTATTCTTGAAGATGGAGCATGGACAGAGTTCTGACTCCTGTCCTCTGAAGATGCCGGCCACAGAGACTGGTGAAACGTCAGGAAGAACAACCTTCAGAACACGGCCAAAGAATCTGAAAAACCCACAACAACCAGCATTTGTTATTGTTTCAAGCCATTGTTTCTAGTTAGATATTTTGAAGGAGAAAAGGGCTGTGGTAGAATACGTGCTTGCAGAAGGCCTGAAACTCAATCCCTCGTATCTCCAGTTAGGGCTAGGAGAGGAAATGCTACCTCAGAAAGCCATTACCAGTCAAAGTCAATAATACTAGGCTAGCAGTATAACTCATTATAAGACAGCTATATATGTTCCCAATTCCTTCACCCTTTTGCTTTAGATGGTGGAGTGCCAGAATTATAGGTTTCAGGGATGTAGCAAATATCTGTGTTATCAATTGTATGATGGA